TGGGAGTGGTTATGTCCCAATGGATGCATTCCATCCTTTTCAGGGAGCTCTCAAGAGCTGCTCAGAGATGTAGAGGAAGGTACAGGAGGGCTCCTCCATCTGAACTAGTTTCTTTTAAACATCAAAACATGATCGGTGATGGAAAATACCTGCTTAAAACTGTTCACATTTGGTTCTGATATATAGAATGCTAGAGAGAGTTGCTTCATATTTGGGCTCTGTTTTCAAAGCACCATGTTTGCAAGCCCACTCAAATGGAAATCCTTGTTAAACATTTTCTACTTGCCTTGTCCATGAATACCAAAATGCTCAAAGAAGTGTCATAGAAAACACTTGTGTCATTTGTGAAGTTTTACCTAGATAACTATGTAGTTAATTTTATGCAAGTAAAAAGGTAAACGCAGATATTTTACAAGCTGAGGAACCTAGACTGTACTGTGGCTACAAAGGCAAATGTACACTTAAGTGCTGACATTGTCCATGGCTACAAAAGAGTTTATGTTTCAGTTCAAATATGTGAAAAGGACAGTGTCTTAATAGTATATTGGCTTTATTACATCCATGGAGTGTTTTCCAAAAAGTCAGAGACCTGAGATGGATCCAATTTGATAGAGCTTGATAATGCAAATTAAACAAAACAGTAATGAGAATGGCACATACAAATATTAGCTAAATGTTGTCACTTGGCAATATTTTTGTTATGCAAATCATGATGGAAACAGCAAGACTATCCTTGCTGCTAATGAAGCCACCTTGGAAGTGACAGTAGATTGACTGACTTTGATTGGAACAACTGTATTCATGGAGAAAGGATGGACCAAAGAGCTCGAGACATATTTACATTACAGCTTTGATGTAGTATTTTAACACCAGAAAACTGAGTTCACAAGGAGCTTCAGATATCAGCTGACACCTAATCTTATGCTCTCTGGGCATCATTATCTTACCTGTGTGTCATTAAGGGGTAAAACTCACTGTCATCTCTGATGTTTTGCATTTAAAAGATTCTACAGCCAATGTTTGTTTCATTCTCTGCTCGACCCATAAAATCAGGATGTCTTTCTGGAGCTGTTGTGTGCATATTATATGTTCCTGCTCTTTTATTCATTTTCTGGTAGGTGGTTGTAAGGTTTCCATACAGGAATGAATGGTTCATCAAAAGAATCTGCAGGAGAGTGAGTCCTGATCAATGCAAAGAGCAGTAGTTAGCTATCTTTTTCATTTTTCTTTTCTTTTCGAGCAAACAAAAGTGGTAAACTGTTTGTGAAACTGAATTCTCTGCTTATACATCTGAAAGTAGGGCTATGATAAAATATTTACAGGTATGACATGAGGAGTAGCTAATGAATGTCTCCGGTGTTTTCAGCAAAGCAGTGGAGGATGTATGTAATGCATATGAAACATAAGTTTTCAGTAATCTGGGTAGTAAAACACTTAGTATTTTGACTATATAATACGATTGCACTCATTTGAAGATACTTCTTTCTCTGGATATTTATTTGCCATAAATAACAATTACAGAGAGGGGGACATCCTATCAAAGCTCATGCCATTCTGGGCTTCAAAAGTGAAAAGCTGGATTGCTTCGCACTGCTGGTTACGTTCAGGAAATGGGAAGCTGGTGTGTTAGCTATGAGATGGGGAGATGGTTTGTGGGTGAGCAGCACTGAGCAACACTTGTGAGCCTGGGCAGGTGATAGGACAAGGGGGGACGGTTTTAACTTAGGAGGGAACATTTAGATTAGATATTAGGAAGAAACTTTTTTACACATAAGTTGTAAGGTGGTGGCCCCGGCTGTCCAGAGGAGCTGTGAGTGCCCCATCTCTGGAGGTGTGTTCAAGGCCAAGCTGGATGGAGCCCTGGGCAGCCTGAGCTGGTGGGTGGCAACCAGCCCATGATAAGAGAATTGGAAAGTATGGGCTTTAAGGTCCCTTCCAATTTAAGCTATTCTATAATTAAGCAATGTCCTCAGCAGAAGCAGTGTGTTTGTTGAACAGCCATGGTACCAGGGAATGCCTGATCTACTTGTTGACAGCCAACTGTCTGAATGATTTTGTTTTTCAGCTTTTGTTTAGAGGACAGTTTAAAAGCCAGGAAGTGTTACGTTTTTCTCCCCTGTGATAAGTAGCTGTATCGCTTTGAATTGAATTTATAATTTACCCATAGGAAACAGTGATGGCTGCGAGACGTCTGTCTCAAAGCTGAATGGTTCTGACACCTACAAATAACTTTCTGTCCAGCTGTCAGGGAGAGCGCACTATGGAAGCAAATACAGGATCAAAACATTCCTATCTCTGCACAGAGAGGCTGCTCCCTGCTGTAGGCTAAGTCTTTGTTTGGTTTTCATGTTTCCTAATACTAAATTAATGTTTTTGCTGCTTGGTGGCAGAACCCAGAGGGAGACACAGGATTTGAAGTCTTTAGAATACGCAGTATATACAGAGTATACAGTGAGGTGCTCTTTAAGATCCATATAAAAAGTTTTAAATTCTGTTTTATTTTTGGTAATATTCCTGCAACTTCTTTAACTTTGGAAAGTGGAAAGCTGTGTGATAAGTTCAGGCACGTAATAAAACCTAGCTTCCTTACAGGAGCTGCACTAAAAATAATTCTGGACCTGGAGGTGTTTATTGGCTGTTGACGGTGGTGGCATTTTCACAGGGAAAAAAAACAGGGCTGGTGAGGTCAGGGAGCATTAGCACAGGCTCCCATGGGGACCTTGGTAGGTGCGTTCATGGCTTTGTCTGCTTTTCTGGTGAAAACATGTATATTTTTGTGACTGTATTGTTTTAAAATACTTGGTAATTGGAAGATGCCCTAAAGATTCCCAGTGCCTGCCTTCAGTGTGCATTCATTTCAGGACTGTCAGATAGCAGAATCACAGAATGGCCCGGGTTGGAAGGGACCTCAATGATCACGAATCTCCAGCCCCCCTGCCACATGCAGGGCTACCAATCTCCCCATTTAAACTAGACCAGGCTGCCCAGGGCTCCATCCAACCTGACCTTGAACACCTCCAGGGTTCAGCTTGCCTTTGCTGGGAACTTTCATGTGTTCGAAATCCAGAAAATCCCAACTAAATTCTGATCAGTGTGCATGCTTCTGTTGAAATGATGATAAATTGCAGTCCAACCTTTTGCTTCACTTCTTTTGCTTTTTAAAAATTTATCTCCTTGCTTTTTGGAAAGTGATAATTCTTACTGAGGTGTTTACATCACTGGAGCCTAACTGTATCTCTGTGTGCTGCTCATTTTCTAGCTGATGATCACAGAATGAATTAAAGAATGGTTTGGGTTGGAAGGGGCCTTAAAGCCCATTCAGTTCCATAACCACTGCTGTGTGCTGGTTGCCACCCACCAGCTCGCTGCCCAGGGCCCCATCCAACCTGGCCTTAAACACCTTCAGGGTTGGGGTATCCACAGCTTCTCTGGGCAGTACCTTATTGCCCTTTGAATAAAAAGTTTCCTTCTAAAATCTAACCTAAACATCCTCTCTTTTAGATTAAAACCACTCCCCATTGTTCTACCACTGTCAGGACACATAAAAAGTCAGTCTGTCTCCTGTTTGTAAACTTCCTCAGGTAGTTGAAGGTCGTAATGAGATCTCCCCATAGCCTTCTCCAGGTTGAACAAGCCCAGTTCCTTCAGCCTTTCTTTGTAGGCTCCAGCCCTCAGACCATCTTTGTGGTCCTCCTCTGTACCCTCATCAACAGCTCCATGTCTTTCTAATGCTGGGGGCCCAAGACCTGTAACACTGGTTTCATGAAAGGGCTGCCTGACGTCCCCTTGCTCATAGATGCCAGGCAACAACTCCTGCAGGTACGAGCACGAGTGATGATGGCTTGACTGAGGTGACTGATGGATCCAGGCTGATGCCTCCAGCCAGGAGGTGTCTGGCAGGACTGGGGGACCTCGCATGGCTTGTGGGTGCATCTACCATGTCGTAGATGTCAAGGAAATGGGATTTGAGCACACACTGTTTTTGGTTTTGAATGGGAGAGAAACTTCATTGTGAAATTCCTGCCTTATCTGAGGAAATGCTGAGGAATTGGGCATACAGCAGGAGGACACAGTGAGTGCCTTTCTGGGCTGTTTGCTGGTCTCTTCCTGTGCCCAGCACAGTTTGTGGTACCTTCACATTAAAGTTGTAAAACTCTGCGAGGATTTTAAATGAGCGTGGCATGGTGTGCCCGTGGTGTGGCTTCCTTTGTTTGCCTATTGCCATGCAGCCTGGCCAGCTCTATCAGAAACCCATCTGTGAAGCACATTTTAATGGTTAGATGTAGCAGTGATTAGAATGCACCAATGCCCAGTGGGTATATGTGTCATTTTTTAACAGCTGCCGAGCCTTCTCCCTGCTGCTCCAATTAACACACTGGGCACACGCTTGCCGCTGAGTGGGCTGTGTGTATGGGTTAAACCACTCTGCTGCTTGTTCTCCTGGTGCGCGCGATGCCAGGAACAGAGCCGTGCGTTTCCTGTCCGTGGAACAAAACGAAATCAAACAGAGCCCTCAGCCCTTGCCTGTGTAAATACGAGGACAGATTTAACTGACAGAGGGAAACCTGCCTCGCCTGTGGATATGGTTCAGTCCGCCGATTCGCATCTCTCCCCGCCTCCCAGCCCCGCTTCAAATGATGGAGACGGAGGGCAGCGAGCTCCCGGTGCCGGCTCCTCTGCCTGGCAGGCAGCGCGCTCCAACTTTGCCCTGTTCAACAACTGCTCGCAACCCTCACTTCTCCTCTCCTTTCAGTGTTTCTCCCCTTTATCTGTTTTTATGTTGAGATATTCCAGTCCGTAGATTTTATAAAGTCCACCCCTTCCCTTGTTATTTTTTTTTTAAAGGAGGGGGAAACGATATGCTTTGCAGCCCTAGCTGAGATCGGGGTTTTTAATGGTACCAGATGGTGGAAGGTTGCGGCGTTCCTGCGGTGCTGGCTGCTGCCCCGTGTCCGGACAGCTCTGTGTAAGGTGGGGGGCTGCCCGCGGGCACTGAGGCCATGGAGCGCTTCCTGGGCTTCGTCAAGCAGATACGGAGGTCGAGGAGGAGAAAAGGCAAAAAGTACCGCCCGGAGGAGGATTACCATGAGGGCTATGAGGATGTCTATTATTACGCCTCTGAACATTTTCGAAGTAAGTGTTTTGCGTAACCTTTCTTTCCTTTAGTTGTGATGTTACATTCGTGAGATTCTTTATAATCAAAACCACCCTAAAGTCCAAACAGTGCTCCCTGCTTTCTAGAACCTGAGCCCTGTGCAAGTATGAAAGCTTCCGGCTATAGATTCATCTGTCTGTGGCTGCTGATGACCAATGTGAAAAAGCTGAAGTGGCACAAAGCTCCCAAAGTGAGCAGGGTTGTCAGCCTGGTTAATATTTCAGGTGCAGTTAATTGAGTCGGAGTGCTGGAGAACCACTGTGAGATACTTTGTTTTGAAAACGGATCGGCTGGCGGTCGCCCTTGTAGGATGCCTTTGTAGTGTGGGTGTTTTTAAAGCAGCGTAGAGGCAACAATCTCTCATTGGTGGGTTCAAGTTGGTGATTAATGCATGCTGCTCAGCGAGAGTCAGCCCTCCGTGCCTGCAGAAAGTCTCTCCGTGGGCTCCTTTGTTGGGGAGCACCCATGGGATGGCGTGGTGGTGGCAGTCACGTGGCTGCAGCAGCTCACCCCAAACCCAAATAAGTTGTGAAGACCCTTTGCAAAACGTGCGTCCGTTGGGTTTATGCTCAGCACCTGGCAGGCTGTGGTGATCTTTATAAAAGCTTTCTGCTGTTCTGACCAGCAGTCTGGGAGCTTTGCTGCAAAGCTGGCTATTTTTGAGCGGCTGAAGTTTGATGTGCTTTTTCTTCCTTTTTATTTATTTTTTTCTGGAGTGGCTGTCACATCCTTTTCGTGCCATCCAGCTTCATTTCCATTTTGCTGAAATAAGAACCTTCTATTTGTTTTCAGACAAAATAGTGAACGTGGCTGTGCTTAACAGCAACAGAGTGCTGTATTCACTGGAAAACATTGAAGCTAGAGGTTTTCTTCTTGGCTTTAAATGCACCACAATTGCCCATCTCCAAAAGTAAACTAATATAGAGTGATTGATTTTTTTAGTGCAGTTCTCCCTTCTACGTTCTTTATCTTTTTCCATTTCAAAGCAAATGTACTATGCTGATAACCTTTATGTTGTTAGGACTGAGTTTTTATGAGAAAAACCTATTTTCAGGGGCACTATAATCATAGCAGCTATCTATCATACTGGCATGAAATACACAAGGACTAAAAAATTTACTTAGCTCTGAAAAATGTGAAAATAATACAAGTCAATGAAAGCACATAACTTTTTTTGCTTTAATATGCAAATCAAAGGAATGTGTCAAAGCAGGCTGTCAAAGTATTTCCCCTAGCTGATTGTTAGTGCTGAAGATCTTTTAAATAAGAAAGCAAAACCCCTCCCAAAACTGTCACATGTCATAAGGATTTGTTGTATGTTGATTAATAAATTATTACTCTTGATTTAATGTAAGGCACTACAATCAAACCAAATGTCCAATAGGTTTCTCATTTTATTCTCCTTAGAAAATAAAAGGATGTAACACCCCTCAGCCCGTGGGGGTTGGAAGTATTTTAGTCTGGATGAGCGCATGTTTGGTTTTGAATTGTTGTTTTTACTGGTGCTCATAACGCTCACACTGAGCAGGCAACGCGATGCACGGTCCTGTGGAGTTGGGTGCACAAGGAGTTGCAACTTCTCACAGTTACTAACACGGAGCGTGTCGTGGGAGGTTCAAGCCATGTTCATCAGGGAGCCTGTGCAGGCAGTACAGCAAACACAACCCCTCCTCTTCCACGGCTTCTTTTGTCCGCTCTTTCCGTGTGCTGCTTTGGTTGGGTAGGTGTGGCATCTGCTGAAAGCTGTGTGTACATGTGAAAGGATGCTGCTGGTGCTGCTGTGAACGCTCTCGTGAAATTGGATTTCATGTAATGGAGACAATGAAGTGTTTATATTGAATGTAATTATGATCTGGTATTATCCTGTTTACAGTGCAAATTTAGAGTAATTGCAGAGCTTTTAATAGCCATTCCTTCTGCACTTCTGTATGCTTGAAGGATGCGTGCTTGAGAATAAGGTTGTACTTACTGGTATGATTCTCCAAATATCAGAGCTAATGAAATCAAAGACCTGTTGTTCATTCAACCGAACAGAGTAGGAGCTTGTTCAGGTTTTGTTCCCTCTCCCTGCATTGTCACCCATCCCTCCCAAGGGTCGCCTTTTATGAGCTGTGTGACCAATTAGAGAGTGCTTTTGGAGACTGTCTGAGCCAGTCACTCTGTGGGCTTGCTGTTCCCTCTTCCCCCCATACATAGTATTGCTTAGGGTGCTGCAGGGAGATGAAATTAATGAAAAGCTGAGGAAGTGCATTAGAATAGCCAAAAGATCAAACAGAAACAAAACAAAGTTATAAATAGAGTGGGCCTCTGGGAATCACAAGGAAAAGGTGACTTTAGTTTGTCCTCAGCCCTCATTAGGTACACTGCATGTAATTCTCTGAAGCTTTGCCATGGGGGACCAAATGAGCTGTAGTATTGGGATGCAGGAGGTGAGAAAGGTGCAGTAATACCCAAAGCTCCCTGAATGAAAAAGAGACTCCGCTCTGACTTCTGTTTGCTTGGACATTTCATTCATGCAGGCTCAGTTCAGTGGATATCCTTGCTTTGACACGCAACATCAGCTCTCTTATCTTTCCTGAGAGTCTCTTTCTGTGCTGTGTAGTGTGAGACCAGCTAAAATAATAATCTTCATACACAAACACGTATTGACATTAGTAGCACAGGCATCATACTCATTTCAGTGAGGCTTTGCACTGTGAACATAACGGGCAATGAAATTTCTGCCCAAGCTGCTCAGACAAGTTGGTGCTTATTGCTTAAAGTGCTTTAAAAAGTATTTGACTCATGCAACATTATGGCACTATCTCTCAACCTGCTCCTTTTAATGAGGCTTTGCGTGAACAAGGCCCTTGTTATGCCATTACTGGGACTGACAGCAAATGACAGGACTGTTGTGTGGCATAGCTGCCTGGCCCATTTCCAAAAATGGCATATGTCCTTCCACAGAAGTTGGGATGCTTTGCCAGGGCCTTTGAGTTACAGCCTAGTCTTGAGTGGGAGGATGTATTTGGAGCCAGCCTGGCCACCTCTGACCAAAACAAACACAAGCCCCAGTCTGATTGCAGCCTCAAGTCTTCACAAAACATTTGAAAAAGGTTGGATTGTGTTCCAGTGGAATGGAAACAGATTTTGGAGCTTGCAGATGATGACACAAAACGTTGCCCAGGAGGTGCCAGGCTACTTTACTGTGAACAGGTGCTGTATCATTTATGTTACTTCATGTTTGTCATCCATTTCTTCCTGAAAGACACTCCATTTTCATCTGATTCACCTCTGTTGGTCCTGCCAACATAATGTCAGCAGTATATTCCTTTGGTGTAAATGTTTTGGTGTCAATGCCACGAAGATATGAAAGAATGATCTCAAAAACCCATGCATAAAGAATTCTACTAGTAAACTCCCACTAACCCAAAAGTTCTTTTTTTCTCTCATTCTTTCTCTTGTTTTTAAGCTCTGTCCCTCAAAATGTTCCATGTAGTCACTCACATACTTACACAAATAATTTTCTTCTATCCTTTCAAGGTCTCTTACGTGTTGTTTGACAAGAGCACTGATACTTTAGACAAAGAAGTTCGCCATAGGCTATCTTCAAAAAAGTCACATAGTATTTTCTCTCTCACCTTTTTACTTTGAATTAATAGTTTTAATTTTTTCCTTCAAAGTGTGTTTTGAAGTATACCAAGGTTAGACCAACACAGGTGTTTCCTCAGATCAGTTTTTGTCTTTTTTTAATCAGTAAATGCTTACTTTCATCAAGTTATTTGAGACTATATCTTATATGACATATATTTTTTTAATCCTTCAAAAAATATTATCATCACTTTGATGGCTTATTATCATCACTTTGATGCCTTGTATTATTTCATCCACAATTCTTGTGTGAGAATCATCAGTTTCCTCACTTTCAGAACATTAATCTCTTCCAATCTGCCTCCAAAGTACTTGTGATGTTTTTTTTTCCCTTTCCATTAATTGTCACAACTCTGTCCCTTGTCTGCACTGGAACGTTAAAGGACATCCTTCATGTCCAAGCCTAGCAAATGAGACAAAAAGGAAAAACGGGATATTCTGTGTAACTCAGCATTAAAGATATCCTCTTGGTTGATTGAAATTGGGAATAAGAAGGATATCAAATATATAATGCACTGCTTGGTATTATGTCAGCAGAAAAACTCCCCTTGCTCTGATTGTGCATTATTCTCCAACATGACTCAGTGTTATGGTGCAAAAACTCCCACAGCTGCCAAAATCTTCCTAACAAATGTCTTTGTATTTCATAACCAGAGTTGCTTTAAAACTGGGTTAAATACTTACGGAAGAGCTCTACTACTGAAATAGCACTACGACAGAGCACTGAGGGAAGCAATATGCCTATGGCTTTTAGTGCTGTGGCAAGTAGCAGCATCACTCTTACTTTCCAAATTGTCTCCATTTCGTAAATTGGCACAAATTGTTCTTGTTTGCTCTCATCTCATTGATTTGATTGGGGTTGTTAGAAGAGTTAATGGTTTTATGAGTAGTGTGGTGATAAGGGCACTGAATATCTCTAGCTCAGGTTGCATAGACAGTAATTGATCTGAAAGGGTGAGGAGGACGACTACTTTTCATTTCACAAACAGCTTTTCATCTCCCAGGAAATGGATACTGCTAGTCTGCTGTGTGTTTGGATGTGTGTGTTGGGGCTGCTTCTTCTTCCTTACCTAATCTGGACTTGTCAGATTAGTAAAACCTCTGCTTTCATTGAAACTAAAGGTGATCAATTGGTTGCAGGCTAGATGAACCTGAGCAGGGAATATGGCAGGCCTTGAAAGCACAATGAAAATAATTCTCTTAAAAAATTTGTTAAAGCTTCTTATTTCCTTGTGTTTAATGACTGCTTCAGGATTGCTGACCCCTGGAAATTGACATTAATAGATCATAGTTTATCAGTGCTTCTGTTGTTTTCCCTAAGTCACTTACTGAGACCTCAGTTGAGGTC